ATATATATACAAAATAATTATACACAGTGCACCCACATATATTATGTAAAAAAAACTTTTATTTTGGATGTGATTAATCGTGATTAATCATTTGACAGCCCTAGTTGTAATATTATGTTTATTTTGTGTACATTGTGGGAAATAATTATTTGATACCCTGCTGATTTTGTAAGTTCGCCCACTTACAAAGAAATGAAGGGTCTATAATTTTTATGGTAGGTTTATTTTAACGGATAGAGACAGAATATCAACCAAAAAATCCAGAAAAAACACATTATCTATAGGTTATAAATTGATTTGCATTTCAGTGAGTGAAATAAGTATTTGATCCCCAAGCAAAACATAATTTAGTACTTGGTGGAGAAACCCTTGTTGGCAAGACGAGATCTTGCAAGGAGCTCCAGACCCAGGGCGATTGATGGTTATTTTGTATATCTTCCATTTCGGAATAATGGCACCAACAGTTGTCTCCTTCTTACCCAACTTCTTGCTTGGAGACTGGCTAGGCCACTCCAAAACCTTAATGTGCTTCTTCTTGAGCCAATCCTTTGTTGCCTAGGCGGTATGTTTTGGGTCATTGTCATGCTGAAAGGCCCATCCACAAACCATCTTCAGTGTTCTGGCTGAAGGAAGGAGGTTCTCGTCCAAGATTTTACGGTACTTGGCCCGTCCATCAGCCCCTCAATACGGTGAAGTCGTCCTGTACCCTTAGAAGAGTAACAGCCCCAGAGCATAATGTTTCCACCTCCGTGCTTGACTGTAGGGATGGTGTTCTTAGGGTCATAGTCAGCATTTCTCTCCCTCCACACAGCGAGTTGAGTTGATGCCAAAGAGCTCCATTTTAGTCTCATCTGACCACAGCACTTCCTCCCAAGCCTTCTCTGAATCATTAGATGTTCATTGGCAAACTTCAGACGGGCCTGTACATGAGCCTTCTTGAGCAGGGGGACCTTACGGGTGCTGCAGTATTTCAATCCATTGCGGCGTAGTGTGTTACCAATTGTTTGCTTGGTGACTGTAGTCCCAACTGCCTTGAGATCATTAACAAGCTGCTCCCGTGTAGTTCTGGGCTGATCCCTCACCTTTCTCATGATCATCCTTACCCCATGAGACGAGATCTTGCATGGGGCTCCAGACCCAGGGCGATTGATGGTTATTTTGTATATCTTCCATTTCCGAATAATGTTGTCTGACAGTTGTCTCCTTCTTACCAAGCTTCTTGCTGATGGTCTTGTTGCTCATTCCAGCCTTGTGCAGGTCTACAATCTGGTCCCTGACGTTTGACAGCTCTTTGGTCTTGCCCATGGTGGTGGAGAGGATGGAATGGAAGATACAGATTCTGTGGACAGGTGTCTACTGACATTAGGACATTAGGAGTGCTTTCTTAAAGTGACAGGACTAATCTGTGTTCCACATAGGCACATAACCAATCTGTGGGAGCCAGAATTCTTGCTGGTTGGTAGGGGATCAAATACTTATTTCACTCGATCAAATGCTAATCAATTTACAACCTTTGTATAATGTGTTTTTCTGGATTTTTTGGTTGATATTCTACCATAAAAATGATAGACCCTTCATTTCTTTGTCAGTGGGCGAACTTACAAAATCAGCAAGGGATCAAATAATTATTTCCCCCACTGTATGTATGTGTATATATATACAGTATATATATATATATATATATATATATATATTAGTGCTTCAAACGATTAAAATATTTAATCGCGATTAATCACATTAATGTCATAGTTAACTCACGATTAATTGCAATTAATCGCACATTTTTATCTATTCTAAATGTCTCTTGATTTCTTTTTGTCCCATTATTTTTTCTCATTTTAATGCTCTTATCAACATGGAAAAGTGGATCGGCTTGCTTTGTGCAAATGTTTTTTATTGAAAACAACATTGGCATATACTGTGTTCAATTTCACACTAACATTCTCACTTGGAGCAAATAATCTCTCACACAATGTAACACTGTCCATCAATAAAAGGGTGAAAGAAATACTGACGAGGTCCTGATATTGACGAGGGGTCGGAGAATTCGCATCAGCTGTGTGTGTGCTTGGCCATCATCAAGTGGTATTTCAGACTGGACGTGCTGCGATGATGATAGCTCAGTTCACAACGACAAAATACACAGATCGCTTTGGTCTTGTCAATGGAACCATTTGGCAACTTTTTAAAAGTAAACTTTCCATTCAGAATCTTATTGGCATCCATTTCGGCGTCTCGCGCTCGTCATCCACTCAAAACTTAATGTAAACCTACTATTTGGCCGGCTCGCAATCCTAAACAAGTGTGTGCGGCGTGCCTGTTGTTTTGTTTCCGGTCTAGCTAGATTCGCTTGCGCTTTGGTCGATTAAGCAACAAAACGTCCTTGCGCTGCGCAAGCCATTGAAATGAATGGGTTTCATAGCCGCATATGCCGCGTCCTGTTGCAAAAGCATGTGAAAAAAACGACAAAGTTTGCTAGGGCAAAAAGACCGTTAATCATGCGATAAAAAAAATTACGCCGTTAAAATGGGTTTGCGTTAACGCCGTTAATACCGCGTTTAACTGACAGCCCTAATATATATATATATATATATATATATATATATATATATATATACGATTTATCTCATATAGGATGCGTTTGCTTATGTTAACGCGGTAGTAAAGCGATTCAGTTTACCAATGATCATTCAGTGCACGCAGCTCAAACAATAATGCACAACATTAATAACTACAATTGGGACTGTCATAAACATAACATAAAGAGAACACTATTGTAAAAAATAATTGTGAATTATTTGGGTTTAGTTGCCATGTTTCAGCATGTTGTTACGGGAAGAGCGCATGTGCATCCACAACAGGAGTTACACATTCTGACTAGCGTGTAACTTAGTTCAAGTTCACTTGTGCATTTCCATCATTTTATGCAGATACAAGTTGTAATATGATTCTGTTGTATAAATATCTGTTTAATCTCATATAGGATGCGTTTGGTCTTTAAACTGCTAACAAAACGATACATTTTTCCATTGTTCATTCAGCTCTTCATTTTCAGCACACGCAACTCAAAAAGCAATGCTGTTATTTAAAAAAAATGTGATATTAATTTAAGATGTTTCTTTTTTTTTTTTTAAAAAGATGCATTATTAATAATTACTAGCACTTTTTGGTTTAATTAAAATAATTTTATTATTGCAGAGGCTATTTTATATTTTGTTTATCCATGGCCCATGCATTTTGATTCTTTATACGCAAGTAATGTCGTCCAATGACTTGTTTGCATTATTTAGGCATTATTTTATTTATATGTAAGGCAATAAATTAAAAAACTTTAATAAAAAAAGTTGGCCGTGGGAGTGTTTTTAAAATTTATTTAAAAACTTACACTGGTTCAAATTAGACTACTATACTGTATAGTTTTGATTAGTGCTTGGGACATGACATTTAATGGTAAGACTTTTTTTTCAGGCTCTCAAATATTTTAAACAAATTTAGATTTATTGGCCAATATATTGTTTATTGGCATTCAAATATAAAGAATTATCTATTAACTCTAATACCATTACAAAAGTAACCGAAACATGTAAAAAGCCACAGCCAAACATATGTGAAGATTGACTTTACAGCATCTCCTGAAACGTGGTCTTAAAATAACCAAGTCTTTTCACACTGCGGTTACCCCCGGGTTATCGTCATTCTTAACCCCGCTTTTAAAGGAACGTAAAGGAACGTTTCACACTTGTAATTTAGAAGCAGGGTTAGCACCGCTTTTTACCCAGGGTTAAGAAACCCTCCTCCTTATATCCACGTGCTTTGGGGAGTCACGAATACACAGCACGATGTATATAAACAGTCGTTTCAGCGTTTGTTTGAATGAATGAATGAGGCATTTATATAGCGCTTTCATAACTACTGTGCACCCAAAGCACTTTACAATCATGTCGGGGTCTCCTCAACCACCACCTGTGTGCAGCATCCACTTGGATGATGCGACGGCAGCCACAGTACATTGGCGCCAGTGCACTCACAACACACCAGCTATAGGTGGAGAGAGGAGAGAGAGTAATAGAGCCAATTCAATGGATAGGGATTATTAGGAGGCCATGATTGGCAAGGCCCATTGGATGGAATATGGCCTGGACACTGTTTAACATCTCATCCGAAGGATGGTGCTCTTTGACAGTATAGTGTCCCCATCACTTTACTGGGGCATTAGGACCCACACAGACCACAGGGTGAGCACCCCCTTCTGGCCTCACTAACACCTCTTCAAGCAGCAACCTAGTTTTTCCAGGAGTCTCCCATCCAGGTACTAACCAATCTCAACCCTGCTTAGCTTCAGTGGGCAACCAGTCTTGGGCTACAGTGTGATATGGCTGCTGGTTTGATAGGAAAAATGTCAAATGGCAATAGAACACACGACAATTGGTGTGAAGAAGAAACCATTTCATTCTTACAGTCAGCAATGCTAGAGCCTTTATGTGAACAGGTCACATGCTGCATTCATCCAGTCAGTGAGACTGGCAAAGCAAATATGCAAATACGTATGTTAACCCTAGGTTTAGGAATGTAAAGTGTGAAACTTCATCTTATGAATACCCACTATTAATTGTCAACTCCGTGTATATTATTAACAGTGTGAAACGTGAAGCAAGATAACCCAGGATTCCGTTTACCCGGGGTTTAGAATGACCCAGGGTTAACTATTTCAAGTGTGAAAAGCCCTTTTATGTAATTCTTCAAAATAAGATAAAAAAGACCACTGAAAAATTAGGTATTTTATATAAAAATTATATAATTTTTAAAAATTAAAAATTATGAGACTGTAGAGCCTAGAGATTTTGAGACTTGTGTGTGGGTGTGGGTTAGATAAAACGATGTGCGATTTTATCATCGTTTTGGTTTGTTTAGGCAGATAATAGTGTTGCAGAAGTTCATACCCGTCAAAACAACACTGGCGTAACTCATATGATGTCTCTCTGTCTATCTGATTCTTTCAGTAAGAACAGGCTGTCTTCCACCATGAACCCGGTGTACAGCCCAGTGCAACCGGGAACCCCGTACGGAAACCCGAAGAATATGGCATACACAGGTATGTAATTAGACAATCTCACGTATTTAAAAATACAACATGCTTTATTAATAAATGTCTGTGATCTGACTATACAACTCATCAGTGCTTGCTAAGAAAGGATTTTTTACATAATCGTGACTATGAAAATACTTTTCTGCTGATGTAACCCAGACCTTAAATAATAATAATAGCCAATAATATCTACTAATGAGGTTTTCCTGTTTCATTCTGAAATATATCAATAGTTAAAGGTGCAGTAAGTGATTTATGAGAAATGCTGTTGAAAGTGGATCGGACAGAGCACAATGAAACACTTGTGGCGTGTCCACTCATGATGGGGGCGGAGAAAGAGTGAGCAAGAGGGAGATTTGATGAAAGACTGTAGAAAGAGAGGTGGCTGAGAGACATTACAAAAGAGAAGAGGTTAGAAGAATTTCATTGGAAAAAGAAGGGTTATGATCAGCCAAGGGCCTTAGGACCTCTAGCTTTCTAGCGCTGGAGAGGCCTAAGCGGGAAGGTCTGAAAATGAACACCAAGGTTGCGTTGTTTTCTGCTCCATACATTGGCAGTGTTGGGCAAGTTACTTTTAAAAAGTAATTAGTTACAGTTACTAGTTACTTCTGCCAAAAAGTAACTAAATTAGATACTCAGTTACAAATTTTAAAAGTAACTAGTTACTTAAAAAAGTAACTATTGCGTTACTTTCAAGTAAAATGAAATTTTAAATGCTCAAATGTGACCCGACCTCTACCCCTCTTTAACGGAACTTACAATACATGTGCATGTTCAATTATTTATGATAAATCTGAATATTATAATAAAATGGACACTTAATACAATACATTATTAACAGAAACATGAAACATTGTACACACATCAAAAAAAAAAAAATGTTGCTGTGGGACAAAGTGAGACTAGCCTCCAATCAAATGCCATGTATGTAGATATTATGTTTATATAGTGGATCAATGCAAATAACGCAATAGATGTTTTGGAACTTTTGATATTTATTGCCCCTCAACAGGCAAAATTAAATTAAGCTTGTTAAGCTCGTCGCCATACCTGTCTCTCGTTGACTGACTGGCTTGTGTTGTTCCTTGTGTGTCCTGTCCTGTCCGACTATGCGTTATGATGGGTCGTTCGCAATTCATGAGCGTTAGCTGTTAGTGATGATGGGTCGTTCGCGAATGAGCGTTAGTGATGATGGATCGACTCGTTCGCGAATGAGCTTTTGATGGGTCGTTCGCGATTCTAAGAGTTAGTTACTCTAAGAGCCGGCTCTTTTAGGTGAACGTCGGGAGCTGGCTCGCATATCTGAAGAGCCGACTCTATTTTTACAAATTTAGCCTATAGAAATTAAATAATTATGTAATAAAAATTGAAATATTATAGTCAAAGTCATTTAAAGAGCCGTTTGTGAGCCAAAAGAGCCTGCTCCTTTCAGTGAGCTGAGTCAAAAGAGCCGAATGCCCATCACTACTATGCGTGCTTTCGAACACCCGCCCAACTCTACCTCTGATTGGCTTACAATGACATTTTACTCTACCTCAGCCAATCGTCAGCATGCGCTTGTCTCGTGCTCTGCCCACTAACCAAGGAAGAACAGTAAAAAAAAGTATTTGCCTCTCGCTCAGAGATCTAGTTGGTCTGATGAAAAAAACAAAAAACAGCTTCATCAGTTATAGTAACGCGCCGCATTTTTTGGCAGTAACGGTAACGGCGTTATTAAGATGAGAAGAGTAATCAATTAGATTACACGTTACTGGAAAAAGTAATGCCGTTAGTAACGGCGTTATTTATAACGCCGTTATTCCCATCACTGTACATTGGTTTTGCTATGTTTCACAGAACCAAGATATGCTGTTGTTGTAATGTTAGCTGTAGTTACAGGGCAGTTTTGAGTGTCATTGTTTGTCTGGAGCTGGTGTGCTTCGCTTCAGCTATGATAAAGAGATATCCACTCTTTTATTGCATGTTCATGCATTTTGGAGGCGGAGCAATTTCAATTATCAACAGTGTTTCTTCAAAATCACTTACTGCACCTTTAAGGTGCAAATTCTGTTTCTTGTTGTCTGTAAAGGGATTAATCACCCAAAAATGAATTTTTGTCATCGTTTAGCTGTCCACACTACAGCGTCTGTCTGTGATGTGCAGGAATGGGTGTGCATTAATGCATACTTCACCTCTCACTTCTGTTCCGTGTTGGCGTGTGTTTATGCATGTAGAGCAATGAGCGCCGTGTCACTCATGGCAGGTGTTTGTCTGCTGCCATGGCAACCGTAGGCTCATATTTGATGTGCTCTTATTGAAGGGATTCTCTGGGTCAATAGAGACTGTTTACACACCAACATCTACTCCTCCCCTCCCCCCTCGCTTTCAGTCTGTTTCATTATGTCTTTCTCTCTGCAGTTACCCAGAGGAAAATGTTATTGCTCAGAGGTTTTCTCACTTACGATTCAAGTGTCAGTTTTATTTTAGAACATTCCTTAGGAGAAATTAAAAGAGACAGTTGTTTACGGACAGTAAGAGTATTGAGCTGTAATATGAATGTGAAAAGCAACTAATAGCATATAGCATATAATTTGATGAGAAATTAGTTATATTGAGATGTCTGACTTTGGTGTCTAGGCAAATTTGAGAACAGTCTGAGGCATTGTTCAAAAACTCAACAAACAAATATGAGATATAGCATATGAGATTAGCGGGGAGAATTTTCACTGTTGGAAATTCCATCTTAAGCTGGTAGTTTTTACTGCAAAACATGTAATTTCTTACTATATAACTAAACCTGTATTCTCTTAACCCTCTGGGGTCGGCAATCACGCCGGCGTGATCTGCTCGCTTTTTTTCTTATCAGTGCAAAAGAGACTCAAAATACTCGGTTGATTTTGATCTTACATTTAAGTGTTATACATCATTAGATCCTGTTAAGTTTCTATTTTTTTTGTGGATACTCACAATAAAAACAAAGTGTTGTGCTTTTCACCAAATAAAGAAAAACAAACATGATGCGAGTTCTGCGTTCTCTCTGTCAGTGAAGTCCATTCTGAAACGCGTCCTAAGATTAACTGTAACTCCGCGATTACTTGTCACACAGGCACAGAGATTTTTCTTTATGAAGCTTGAATTCTCTTCTTTTAAATGAAGTGATTTATATAAAAAACAAATATTCTCAGTTTATGCAATCTGTATGAAAAGAGAGTGCTGTCAGTATTTTTTTTCCCAGCTCATTACACTTCATTACGCGTTAATCTGACACGCCCACGGAGGACGCACGCTATTCAAAGGCAAATGTCGAGGCAAGCCATGACAATGCCCACATCAGCTGTTCCACCGCGGCGGTAAAATGTGTGGTGTATTTGCTGCTTTTTACCGCTAAGAGGCGCTACAATCATAGACTCTGAAAAGTGTTCGTTTATTCCGGTTTATTCTCTCTAATGCGTAATCTGCTGCCGCAGATCTGCTGGCTGATTCAGAGCAATTGAAAGCTGGTAGCAGATGAATTCAACAAGTGAAACGTAGTTAAAATAATTCATAATCACAATACTGAAATTAGGCTACTGAAATGTAATTGAATAAATAATGAAAACATTTCAACATAAAACATTCCAATAAAAACATTTAGGCTACATCAAAGAGGCTTTACGACTTTAACAGCGTACAGAAGGTAGCTCAGTGATCAACGCAGCAACACGAGCTTCGAGGAGCTTCAAACGACCCGAGATCGAATCTCAATGTAGCATAGGCCTACATGTTGTTAACCGATGTTGTCCTACAGCGTCTATATTTTACCACCTTCATGCTTAAATAGGTAACTGTTTATAACTGTTTACTTATTTAAAGTCAAGAGTTTTGTTTGATTATCATTACAACATAAATTTGCTACATTCCTGTAGAACCGCAGCCGCTGCACAAACGACAAAAACTGATGAAGGAAGATTGTCAGCCGATTGCATCAGAAAATGAAAATGAAGTAGCTCGTTTTTAGTCTGCTAAATTATTGTGTAATGTAAAAGAACACTAAAATTACTTAAGTTTGAAACCAATTTCGGACATTTCAAGGTTTAAATAAAGTGTCGGGACAGTTTTTTTAAATTTAAAACATGGGTTGCATCGTGTTTAGAGTTTATTTCTTTTGCGATGCAAAATAAGAAACACTAGGCTAATCTTATTCTTGCGACATTTTAAATTTGTATTGCCAAAGAAATTACAGCTAAATTAAACAATTAAAACCGTACAAAACGAAAATTATCCAAAGAAACATAATTAAATTAAAAACATGTGTTTTTCTTTGCCTCTCTCGAGCTGGATCTCTTTTTAACAAGTTTATTTAGTCTCCCTCGCTGCGCGCGCCGGGTCTCTCTCAAAATTAAACATTTCAGGGTAAAAACACATCATACAGCTGATAATACTGTATATGTCGCTGTGTGTCAGCCATACAAATCACGAAAAACTTATTTAGCCTTTAATTGTTGCTTCAAAGACACAGCATGCCTTGTTGAATTCACCTTACAATAACTTCAATTGAAATTTTGTGTGAAAAAAAACTTAAAATAGGCTACAATAAATAAACTACAATATTTATAATTTAATAAGATATGGGGCCTACATTTGGACACAGATTTATCCTTACAATAATTTTGCCTGCTCATCAGGCTGGCTATCCGACACTCTCCATATGAAAGAGGAACATTAACACCTTTGTCCAGCAAATGTCCCTCCAACCCCCCACAGGCTATCGGAGTCTGAGGCTGACTTAACACAAAGAGAAGTCGCAATTCACACTTAAATCGCTATTCTAGACAGTGTTGATAATGAAGGAATTAAATGATTTAAGTTACATGTAGCCTAGTGATATTTCTGTCATAAAAGTTTATTACTAAATATTTCATTATTTCAATAATTGATGAAATAAAACTGGTTTGGGGCAGCTTTTTCCAAGCAAAACTAAATATAATCTGAAAAAACGCTTGTTAATTTGTTGTCATGAACAAAATGTTCAACTCAATATTAAAGTC